ATAAGTATATATATGAGACAATTTTTTTATTTTTATTTAGAAAGATACAAGTTTCTACGAACGTTCGAAATTTAGTGTTTCGATTGTAAAATTAAAATCCTCGAAAAAGCGACGAATTATTGTATACGGCCGGGTCACTCGTTACGGTCCGCAAACCAGTTGCCAGCGCAAAGGGTTTGGGTTAGGTTCTCTCGTTGCATTTCTCTTTGAGCAGAAGGAACACGATTAAGTCGAAGTTTTATTGTTATTTGGGTAATTTGAACATCTGAGGCTTTGATTTGTGATTTATGATTTAAGTTTCGAGCTTGTGATTTACGATTTTAATCGTGATTAGTTCGAAATTAATTTCTTTCGAACGTTGGTTTGGTTGTTTCGAATTGGTTTCGCCAAATTGTTTCTTAAAGCAAAAGTGTTCGTTTACGTAATCTACGACAACGATAAAGAATAAAATCAAATTCATCAAATTCCTCCGTCATCAATCTTCCAATTGTATTACATTCCGTCGAAGAGGAGCTAGCGTTTCGGATAGCTTGGAGTGTGTACATTGATTATTTTAACAGCTAAAGTAAACGCATAACCGAACCGTAGAAATTTCTCAGAGACGAGCAAGCAAACACGTGTACATTTCGGAGTCGGGAGGATCGCGTTACGAACCGTGGAATTAATTTCTTTCTACAATTTTTCACTTTACTGGGGACGATCGATACATGCGTCTCTGATAATAATTTCAAAAATCACTGATCGTTCGCGTTACAGAATTATTAAATTAAGTTGTTCGTAAAATGCAAAAAAAGAGAGAGAGAGAGAAAAAAACAGATAACAGCAAAGTTACAATTTCACACTGAAAGCGTCAATTTTAGAAAAATCTCGTTTCCCGATCGCATCGTCCGATTTGGACAGAGATGGGAGGAAAAAACCATTTTACACCGGGGGGGCGGGCGCTCAACGTTTTGTAAATGCTAAACTCGATTGCGAAAATACGAAATCACGTTTCGCGCGAAAAGCGCCGATCTCGCGAAATTGTGTTGCGAAATTTTCTTAATTTACATAAATAAAGAAATAAAACTCTCTCTCTCTCTCTCTCTCTCTCTCTCTCTCCTCGAACGTGGAATGGCGTGCCAGACACGTCGAGAATTTTTTGTTCCAAAATTGCAATGTTTCCTCTTAATTTTAATATTTCAATATTTAAGTTAATATTTTAATATTAAATTAATATTTTGGTTAATATTTTACTATCAAATTAATATTTTGGTTAATATTTTAATATTAAATTAATGTTTTAGCTAATATTTTAGTATTAATTTTAATATTAATATTAAATTAATATTTTAGTATTAAATTAATATTTTAGTCAATATTTTAATATTAAATTAATATCTTAGTTAATATTTTAATATTAAATTAATAATAATAAATTAATATCTTGATATTAAAGTTTTAATATTTAATACTTAAGTGAAACAAATAACAAATTTAATACTGCTCAGTAATTTCTATCCAGTGATGTCGTACCGAGTTCGAAAAGAAAGCGACGAATTATCGTGTACGGCTCGGTCACTCGTTATGGTCCGCAATCAGTTGTCCCAGCGCAACATGGTTAATGGAATGCAGAGGTACGACAAACACAAAAAAAATGCACGAAGCTGTAATATTCTTTGCAATATTTTAACAAATAGTATTTCCCATTTTCATTCAGAGAAGTATGAGTTTGTACGAACGTTCGAAATTTAGTGTTTCGATTGTAAAATTAAAATCCTCTGCTCACGAACTATAAGTATATATATATATATATATATATGAGACAATTTTTTTTTCCTTTTTGTTTAAAAAGATACAAGTTTCTACGAACGTTCGAAATTTAGCGTTTCGATTGTAAAATTAAAAATCGTCGCGGAAAGCAACGAATTATCGTATATTTGGTTCGGTCACTCGTTACGGTCCGCAATCAGTTGCCCAAGCGCAAGTGGTTTTAATTGTAATTTTTTCCCCCCCGTCGACAGATCGTACGAATGTGACGAGCTTGAGTAAATTTTCGCGCGCCGAAAGAAGAACCAGCCAAGTATCGTTGACAGAGAGTAATTGTTCCACCTTTCTCTCTCTCTCTCTCTTTTATTTTAACGACACGTGTTGAAATATACGAGTTCCGCTCTCGTCGCGACGTTGGAGGAGCGAAACTAACTGCGGAACTAACGTGGAACACACAGGCACGTTTCGTTTCGAGATGGTCGTTCCAAATTTATCCTACCTATGCCATCGTCGAAATTTCGTTTCGAGGCGAAGCGTTATGAAAGGTCCCACCCACTGTGTATCACGAGATCGAGATAACGTACTCTCTTTCGTCACGAAGGAATATCAGCGGTCTAGATTTTCAGATTGGTAGAACAAATTCTAAACGAGTTGAGAATTCGATCGATCGAACAAGCAGTAATTTTATTCCTCCTCGTTGTTATTTTAGTCACGTACGGATTCATCGCGAAGAACTCGTGTCTTTCATTAATTGACATGAGATACACGGGCATCGATTACGCACTGTGCGATTGAAAGTCGTTGTAATTCTAGATTTTTAAATAAGTTTTAAAGTCTTCAGTTTCGCAAAATGGTCCCATTTTTCGTTTTTCACCTGTTTTTAATTAGGAATTCATTGTCCAACTATAAAACGTTAACGTGATCGTGTCATTGGTGGTACATTATTAAAAATAAGCTATTATTATATTAAAAGTAAAAATTTGGTAAAAATTTTATTTAAAATAAGTTATTAAGTTTTATTCAAAATAAGTTAAAACTCGTCGTTCTGGATCGACGAAGTTTGAAACTAAACTTGATTTAAACTCGCCTAAAGCTAAACATAAAGTGCGTTGAGTTCGCAATTTTAATGGGATTCTCCGTGTCAAAGACCCCACTCTCTGTTACATATACTTGTAATAACTTTAAAAACTATTCTCAGAGGAAAACTAGAAACTAGAAACATTAATAAAAGATCGGAACAAAAGATCAAGCATCAAGATCGGTAAAAGAGGCTATTTTATAGATGACATAACATCGTGCAATCGTTGTAAGCCTATTATACCGTTCCTTTACAACAGAGTAATTATTAATAATTAATCGATTAAGCAAAGATTCACATTCAAAATTTTCGTCTACGCTTTTCATTACGTTTGACGTGAAATATCTCATCATAAATATCGTAAGATATAATCCATCCTATTTAAATGATAAACGTGATTCGAGCAAGAGTGCTTCGATCCGTCTGAAATGATATTTCGAAATGAAATCTCTATTCGAGCGTTTCCTGCGTCAAACGAAATACAGGAGGATGGTCGAGGGTCTAATTTCGGAGAAAAAGTTGAAAAACTTTGCAAATTAATCCCCTTAGTTAGTTCTTTTTGCAAATAAAAATTTCATCGATTTATGGGCCTTGAAACGCTAGCGTCGCGTAGCGGTGAAACGGCGGAACTAAAATCTATCGCTGTCCTTGTCGCTCAATAGTGCGCTCCTTGTCTGTCACGCTGCATAAGTCTGTCCTTGTCGCTCACTAGTGCGCTCCTTGTCTGTCACGCTGCATCAGTCTGTCCTTGTCGCTCAATAGTGCGCTCCTTGTCTGTCACGCTGCATCAGTCTGTCCTTGTCGCTCAATAGTGCGCTCCTTGTCTGTCACGCTGCATAAGTCTGTCCTTGTCGCTCACTAGTGCGCTCTTTGTCTGTCACGCTATATAAGTCTGTCCTTGTCGCTCAATAGTGCGCTCCTTGTCTGTCACGCTGCAAAAGTCTGTCCTTGTTGCACGTTGTTGCTCTCTTTATCTATGAGAGACCGAGGTGCTGCCATCTAGCGGCTCTGCCTACCTGGAGGGTTGTAGCAACCTCTACTTTGAGGAATTTAGATCAATGCCATCTATATTAATTAAATCATTCCGACGAGATGTGTATTTAATATAAATAATAGAATATTTAAAAATTGATAGTAACTTAATTATCACTATGAAAATTTTTACAGACATCTATATATGTTGTAACCGTAGTATAAATTCGTCATTATCGTTGTCTAACTTTCGTTACTTTACATTTGTTATTTAACATTAACGTTATTTGTTATTAAATATTTTAGTTATTATATATTTGTTACAATTATAATATTTTTATATAAACTATCAAAATTATATACGGAGTTATTATTATTTAAATTTGTAGTATTATGATGTTAATTAAATTATCATCATAATCTCTACAGGTAGTAATTATGATGATAATTAAATTAACGTCACAATACTACAAATATAAATGAGAAGAATTCTGTAACTTTAGTAACTTTTAATATAAATTATAATAAATGATATTTAAATAACAATAATATATAAAGTTTACAGCACAAATAGACAACTGTTTTCTGCGAATGTTAATTAAGGAATGAATAACAAATTATAAAATGGGGTCTATATACATATCTCTATAAATAAGTAAACATGGTAATAATATTTCCATAGTAATAATAAAAATAAAATAACAATTTATAAATATTCTTATGTTAGGAGTTTATATGCAGTTGGCGATGTCGGTTTACAGGAAACGTACTTCACGGCAGAACGATTGTTTTAATGTTTAGATGGCGCTGATATCAATTTTGAAGAGATAACAGTCGCTACAGGGAGAGATAACGCCATCTATCGGATTTTTCCATTTTCTCTTTTTAGTTCCAGTCGAAAATTGAAGAGCCTAGATGGCAGCAGCATTCGTAGACAAGGAGCGCACTAGTGTGCAACAAGGACAGACTTATTCGGCGTGACAGACAAAGAGCGCACCATTGCGCGACAAGGACAACGATAGATTTTAGTTCCGCTGTTTCACCGCTACGCGACGCTAGCATTTCTATGCCCGTGAATCGACTTTCAAATTTTCATTTGCACAACTAACGCAAAAAGGACCCAATCAACGACCCAACCCACTAATACTATATAAACATGTAATAACCAAACCTGTGAGCTAAAAATGTAAAGCCTATGGTTTAAATTTTTTTCAATAAATTCAAATTTTCATTTGCACAACTAACGAAAAAAGGACCCNGACCCAACCCACTAACACTATATAAACATGTAACAACCAAACCTATGGGCTAAAAATGTAAAGCCTATGGTTTAAATTTTTTTCAATAAATTCAAATTTTCATTTGCATAACTAACGAAGAAAGGACCCAATCATCGACTCAACGCACTAACACTATATAAACATGTAACAACCAAACCTATGGGCTAAAAATGTAAAGCCTATGGTTTTAATCTTTTCAATAAATTCAATTCAATTCAAATTTTCATTTGCGGAAGAAAGCAGTCGAGGCTGTTAATTAATAAATGTTTTCAATTGTATCTTTGTTTCTCAGATCCCCAATTTCTTTTTCTATGTTCAATTTGGCTAACAAAATGTACAAATGTAAATAAGAATCTCGTAAACTTTCACTCTGACGATATTTAACGATATTTCCGGCGACAGACGAGGTATATTATTGGTAAAATTTGAATGAGAATTTTGGATATCCAGAATTTCCATTGGAATCTTTCTTAAATATAATTTATATGATTATTAACAGTTTTATATATATATATTGTCATGAATTAATTGACAAACTTTTTTGCACGTAATGCAAAACGGGGAATTCAAGAAATGATCACTTTGCAGAATTTAAAAGGTAAACGCACCAACATCGTACATCGAATACAGTGGCATGAAGATAACAAGCAACACGTACGCACATAATTGCGTACGCGCGTATGCATGATTACATCCTTGGACCTTTGTAGCAGATAAAAATCAGTCAGTTTTCATTTAAAAGGTAAAGAAGAAGAAAAGAAGAAGGGAAATCCACGAGAAAGAGAATAAAAGACACGTGTGGCGTATGTGGTAATGGTTTATTGTTATCATCCCAACCGACACTTCTGTGTATTTACATGAAAAAAAAAAAAAAAAAGAAAAGAAAAAAAGAGAGAAACGAGAGAGGACCAGTATTCAAACTATCGCGGCTGAACGCGACTTTAGGCACTTTTATTTCGACGCTCGATTTTGCTTTAATTTTTAGAGAAAAAGATCAGGATCGATCGAAAAAATCGCGATCGATACGTATTTGGATGTTCGACGATATCGCGAAATCGAACGTAAATTGAATATCATTCGAACGATACATATCATCGTCAGTCTGATCATCGCGATCGCGTTCGAGTGATAAAAAAAAAAAAGTGATTAGCTTCGAATGAACTGCGCCTGAACGTGTGTTTCTGGCAGGTATATAAATATATTCCTTGAAAAATTCACTTCGCTGAATAGATCTGCCAGAGGTAAATATTATAATAAAAATAATAATAATAATAATAGCAATAATAATAGTAATAGTAATAATAATAATAATAATAATAATAATAATAATAATAATAATAATAATAATAATAATTAATAGATCAATTCATGGTGCAACGTCAATCGCGCTCTCACGTAACAGCGTAAAAGGGAGAAAGACAAAAAGAATGAAAGAAAACGATCGTGTCAAGCGTAGAAAGCGATCGAGGTTCACCATGCAAAAAAAAAAAGAAAAGAAAAAAGATGAAAGAAAGAGAGAAAAAGGAGAGGCAATGAAGCTACGAGGAAAAACACACGCGGGAAGAAAGCATTCGATCGTTCCATGGATGTACACTCTCGTTTGTAAACAAACTCCTTTTTCTCTTCCTTCGAATAATTATGGCCACAAAAGATTCCTTGCCACAATTATCACGACTTCGTTTGCACAACCTTTCTCAAACGAGATATCCACGCTTGGAGATAAATCAATTTCTTTTCTCGATATTCAGCAAATTGCACGAAAAAAAAGGGGGGAAATGGGGAAGAAGCGACTCAGCGCGTTCGTACATCCGTGGAACAAGGGGTCTTTCCGGTTACATCTCTGAACGGGCTGGAAGCCGCGCAAGAAACGCCATTGAACGGGGAAATACGATCGTCAGTTTGTCTACTTTGCGAGCGAACTCGAATTACAGCATCGATCGTGAACTCGAGACCCATTCTGTGGCGAGGACAATGCTTTTTCGCAGCGATTGGATGTTTCTCTGCCCTATACGGTGTGCCAAACGATTCGTCGCGCGAAAAGTACAGGCACTTTTGGCACTGTGACTTCTTACAATTTCAAATTTTTTTTTTGGTTCAACTTCTCAATCGTGAAACAAGGAGGAACTTAAATAATCGAGTACATTTAAAATTGTAAACAATTACAAGTTGTTAATTAAAATTATTAATAATTATAACTTATATAAGTTGTAAATAATTATACAAGTTATGAACTATAAATTGTAAATAATTATAACCTTTATGAGTCATAAGTAATTTGAAAGAAACTGTATAAATGTGGGAATAAAGAGAATGCAAGAACGTAAAGAATAGCGAGGAACTTCGTGATGTTGCGTTGGAATTAAAGATTTCAAAGAGGAAATATGGATCACACTTATTTTGAAGAGTCCTGTATAATTAGAATAAATTCGAATAATAAATTGAAAATAATAAACCGAAAATCCGCTTTCCGATTCTCATATAAATTATAAATAATTATACAAGTTATGAACTATAAATTTTGAATAATTATAACTTTTATGAGTCATAAATAATTTGAAATATACTGTAAAAATGTGGGAACAAAGAGAATGCAAGAACGTAAAGAATAGCGAGGAACTTCGTGATGTTGCGTTGGAATTAAAGATTTCAAAGAGAAATATGGATCACACAAAACGTATGTAAGTGATCCGTGAGGACACTTATTTTGAAGCGTCCTGTATAATTAGAATAAATTCGAATAACAAATTGAAGATAATAAACCGAAAATCACGATCGATGCAGGTTTGAAGTACCGTTCGTTTTACTTCTCGATTCATGCCCATACAAGTTATAAATAATTATACAAGTTATGAACTATAAATTGTAAATAATTATGACTTTTACGAGCCATAAGTAATTCGAAAAAAACTGTATAAATGTGGGAACAAAGAGAATGCAAGAACGTAAAGAATAGCGAGGAACTTCGTGATGTTGCGTTGGAATTAAAGATTTCAAAGAGAAATATGGATCACACAAAACGTATGTAAGTGATCCGTGAGGACACTTATTTTGAAGCGTCCTGTATAATTAGAATAAATTCGAATAACAAATTGGAGATAATAAACCGAAAATCACGATCGATGCAGGTTTGAAGTACCATTCGTTTTACTTCTCGATTCATGCCCATACAAGTTATAAATAATTATACAAGTTATGAACTATAAATTTTAAATAATTATAACTTTTATGAGTCATAAGTAATTTGAAATATACTGTAAAAATGTGGGAACAAAGAGAATGCAAGAACGTAAAGAATAGCGAGGAACTTCGTGATGTTGCGTTGGAATTAAAGATTTCAAAGAGAAATATGGATCACACAAAACGTATGTAAGTGATCCGTGAGGACACTTATTTTGAAGCGTCCTGTATAATTAGAATAAATTCGAATAACAAATTGAAGATAATAAACCGAAAATCACGATCGATGCCGGTTCGAAGTACCGTTTGTTTTGCTTCCCGATCCATGCCCATAATCGAAATGTCACGACGAGCCCATCGTCACGGCGGAGGGGGGAGGGGGGAGGGGGGGCGGCTTCCGTTCGAGCGAGGAAACGGTGAGAAAGGAAAAAACAGGAAAGGAAAGACGTACGTACGGAAACTGTGGATCCTAGTCTTCAGATAGCATAATAACCTGATTAATATCAACGTGTCAACGTTGGCAGATAAGATACAGTGAGGTATAAATCGAAATTTACATCATTTCACCGATATCCACATCGATCGGTTAGCGAATTTGTGATATATAATTATATATATATATTAAATCTTAGGTGGACCATGTAAGTCGCGATATTTTTTTCTTTTTAAATGCAAGTTTTGTACAAACAAGTCACCATGGGGTGGAAGAATTAATTTTTTTTTTTTGCAAATTAAATTTAGGCAACGAATGACCAACTCTATATACATATAGCTTTAAAAGTTCCACGATTCAAAGCAACAATTTGAATCGTATTAAAATTATTAAAGCATTAAATAACGAATCTAGAGAAATTGAGTAATTTAACTGTTTATATATATATATATAATAACAAAATCACTCAACTGGAGAAATTACTCAATTTCTCTAGATTCGTTATTTAATATATATAGACAGTTAATATTATATAATATTATAATATATAATATTAATTATATACACATATACACATATATATATAAATAGATAGATAGTTAAATTACTCAATTTCTCCAGATTCGTTATTTAATATTTTAATAATTTTAATACGATTCAAATTGTTACTTCGAATCGTGAAACTTTTAAAGGTTTAACCAATGGTTTTTATACAGTGAATTTTTCACCTCGCTATATCTATTTCGACCAACGATACGATCGTGCAATGTCGACGAACAGTGTCGAATAATTACGAGACAATTACTTTCGTATCACGATCGACAAAGAAACGAGACGTCGTATTATATCGATCTACCGATCCATCACTTCTGTCCCATAAGTCTTACAATAAAACACATCTTGCGTCACATCTTTTATCCTCGTGTAAATACACATCTATGCACTTGTTTACTTGGATTCGATCGATCGATACGGAGAGTACTCGAGGTACAATAAAGCGGTTGTAAAGTAAGAGAGAAGTACGACATTCCGCAAACTTCTGCCAAACTTTCGTCGTCGAAACTGGCGAATTCAATTCTGTGATGTCTATATCGTCGCGTTTCGATTTTGAAAATTAAAACAAAATCGAGGCTCGACACTTGCCTCAATCTCGAGAAAAAAAGGGGGGGGGGGAGGGAAACTCGCTTTGATTGAAATTCAATTTTTTTTTTTTTTTTTTTCGAATTGCGACGCGATTGCTAAAATATACTTCGAGGAACAAAGTTCGTCTCGTTACGAATTTTGAGCGCTCGAGTTTTTGAGCTCCAGCAGTCTTTGATAAATTGATAAGTTCGATGATACTTGATCTGGCGAGTTGACTCGAGGAACGCTGAGCAAAGACGTGCACTCGATTTGCAATTCTGCAAATCGAGTCTCGTCCAGTGGCACAAATTGGAAAGAAACAATTATTCACGCTATCCTTATCCTACGGATTATCCTAGTCGTTGTCGTACGTTCTGTCCGATTACACAGCCTTTTCGTCTCCTCGAACGCGTCGACGAACCACGGATGCTTCGTTCTTATGACCTACGTTATTACATCGTTAGGTAAGAAACGTATAAATACGCAGGGTGAGCCAAAAATCACTTTCTACCGAGATGAATCTAATTTTAAATTTAATTTAAAATCAAAACTTCGAGTAATTTTAAATTTAATTTAAAGTCAACGTTGAGTGATTTTAAATTTAATTTAAAATCAATTTTAAGTAACTCTAAATTTAATTTAATATCAATAAAATTAGTTTTTTTCTTATATCTGGATGTTTCGTTAAAAAAGAAAATAGGTAAGAAGAAGACTTCAGCTCACTCTGTATGATAGTCTTCGAACAGATTATTTGCAAGCGATAATAATTTTCGAACAGATTATTCGTTGGAAATATTTACAAGAACAAAAAAATATAATACAAACGCCTGTTGATAATTCGATGCGTCGACCTTTGGTTTCAAGAAAATTTCACGCGAGTCGCCACGTAGAAAAGAAATTCATCTGAATGGAATGTACGGTTCAAGAAGATATCTACTTTATCGGTAAGATAACAGAGAAACTGATAGAAACTCCCTGTCGAAGCAAACCGTGTTCCCGAGCCGCATTCGAGGGCAGCAAACTTCTCCACGCGTTGGACCATTTTCAGAATGGAAATCGATGGAAGGAGGAACGAGACGAACGAAGCGAAATTCGATTCCAAACGATTTCCAAACGCTTCGTCGTCGATAGCACGCAGGGTGGAACTGAAGCTCAACGAGTCTTCTGACTCTCGCTAGCTCGGCCCGAAGAAACCAAGAGCCTCCAACGTCCTGGTGACTCTCTCGACCAATTGGTCCTTATACCGCCATATCGTGGTGTCCAACACGCTGTTCTCGCGATACTGGACGCAAGTCTTCTTCAACGATTTCACGCAGTCGGCTCTGTAATGCTGGAGCTGAGCGTCCTCGGTCTGTATTGGGTAACTGGTGCATCCGGCGCCCAGGCAGGCCAATGGGAAGTGATTGTGCAGGGTCACCACCCTCTCCGGATTGTGGAAACACTTGATGTACTGATTGGGTTTCGTGAAGTTTTGGGAACGGTAGACGTGCTGCAGCATGTGCATGTACCTGAAGACAGATATAAAGGACCTTTCACCTTCCCAACTCGTTTCGAAAAAATTCCACTTTCTTCCGAATTTTCTGACCTGAACCTAACCTAAACCTTCCCAATTCGTTTGAGTTCTTCTTTTTTTTTTTTGAATTCTCTGACTTAAACTGAACCTAACCTGAACCTAACCTTCTCAACTCGTTCGAATTCCGAATTTTTTTTTAATTTTCCTAAACCTAAACCTAGCTTAAACCTAACCTAAACCTTCCGAATTCGATTGAATTTCTCTTTTTTCCGAATTTTCTGACTTAAATCTAACCTAAACTTTCCCAACTTGTTCGAATTCCTCTTTTTTCGGAATTTTCATAGACCTAAACCTAGCTTAAACCTAACCTAAATCTTCCTAATTCGTTTGAATTTCTCTTTTTTCCGAATTTTCTGATTTAAACCCAACCTAAACTTTCCCAGCTCGTTTGAATTTCTCTTTTTTCCGAATTCTCTGACTTAAACCCAACCTAACCTAAACCTTCCCAACTCGTTCGAATTCCTCTTTTTTCTGAATTTTCCTAAACCTAAACCTAACCCAAACCTAACCTAAACTTTCCTAATTCGTTTGAATTTCTCTTTTTTTCCGAATTTTCTGATTTAAACCTAACCTAAATTTTCCCAACTCGTTCGAATTCTTCTTTTTTCCGAATTTTCTGACCTAAACCTAGCTTAAACCTAACCTAAACTTTCCTAATTCGTTTGAATTTCTCTTTTTTCCGAATCTTCTGACTTAAATCTAACCTAAACTTTTCCAACTCGTCCGAATTTTTCTTTTTTTCCGAATTTTCTGACCTAAACCTAGCTTAAACCTAACCTAAACTTTCCTAATTCGTTTGAATTTCTCTTTTTTCCGAATTTTCTGACCTAAATCTAACCTAAACCTTCCCAACTCGTTCGAATTTTTCTTTTTTTCCGAATTTTCTAACTTTTCCCGATTTCTTTGGAAAATCTCTAAATTTCTAGATTTCTTCTTCTTTTTCTTTTAGTTTCAATTTCACCAACAACGATTTGAAACTCTTCTTTTTTTTCCAAGTCGAGTCAGCTCTTCCTACGGTTTCTTCTGCGGCTCTTTCTCGAGGACGTAAGAATTAATTACGGGAAGATTGATAACGCGTACATTAGATCATTCGTAGCGGTTTCGCTGCGTTTCGCTTCGCCTCGCTTCTTTTTCTTTCAAAATTGACTGACAGCGTTCGAAGTCGTTGCTAAATCGCAGGCTGTGCTCGTTTTATTAGAGGGGGTGGGAGAGAGAGAAACAGAGAGAGAGTTACGTTAAAATTTGCTAATACCTTTAATGACACAGAAGAAATCGTAGAAGTATCTTAGGTGCAATTTATTCGACTTTCGAAACTAAGCGGTTATTTGTCCAGCATGAAGAATACCGTCATTATCGATACGTTGCCATCTAATATTGCGTTCAATCCAAATTGCGCAATTTTACATAATCTGATGTTTCAGACGCGATTACTACGATCGACACAGTCGTCGAGCAACGTACCCACGTAAGTAATTTGAGTCTAAATTTCAAAATTTGTTTCCTCCGCTATTTATACCGCGCTAGAATAAATCTCCCATAAAAATATGTATGTATATAGACAGTTAATTTACGTCCTATAAAAAAGAAAGCTACTTCCATTCGCGAAACCGTAACAAAAATGACTATTTCGAAATGCGAACATAATTTCTTTATTTACCAAAAATAAAGTGAAATTAAACTAAACCTCTTCGTTGCAGCTGAAATTAAAAAATTCGTCCCTGAAGAGGTTAAGAGGAAAAAAAAAAAGAAGTCAAATTAATACACACGCGCTTAGGTTTCTATAACCTACGGTTAGGTTTTCGTCCAGAAGCATCGAATCTGCTACTCACTTTGGTATGTCTTTGAAGAACCCGTGCGAGTGCAGCAGATCATCCAGAAAGTACACGTTCCTCACGTTGTACGAGGCCCTGGTCTCGTTCCTAATCTTCAGCGCTTTCTCCATCACCCTCTTCATCAGATCCTGCCACGTGGCGTCTTTCACCGGCATGATCACCTCGTCCACGTCCAGCAGCGCGATGTACTCGTACTCGTACATGTGCTTGTACAGGCAGTCGTTGTAAGGGATCAGTTCGTTCTGCCTCTTGTGATTGGTCTTCTTGGTCAGATACATGTGTTGAAAGGCAGGGACGTTCGGTTGCCCGCCGGGCAGTGTCAGAGGAGTCACGTGGACCATCCCTAACCTCTGATAGTGGTCTAAAATCTTCGTCACGTTCGGATGAACCTGTAGCTGGTAGAAGAAGATCTTGTCCGCGCCCAGCAGACTGATCAGCTCTATCCACTCGACCAGTCTCACGGACAGATCCTCGTGAAGGAAGTCCAGACCCTTCACGCACACGGCGAAGTCCTTCTTGCGTTCCGGCTTGTTGTATATGACACGTAGATTGTTGCTGGGTGTGTCGCAGCTCTTCTCCACCATGGACACCGAGGCGGGAGGGCCCTTGGACCAGTGGGACTGAGGGATCTTGCAGGCAATCACGTACGGCTGATAGATCCCCTGTTTGTAGTTACCCCATTTCGGATACCAGATGTACTTGTACTCGAGGGTCTCGACGACAACCGGCTCCCTTTGCCCGTCGTACCACAGCTGGCAGTGAGTCTTCACGATCGGCTCGATCCTGTCGATCATCCCGACGATCCGAACCGCTGGACCAATCCTGGACAACTTTCGACGGTCGTAATAGGCACCGAACAGCTGGAACGTGCCGTTGCTCGTCTGCATCGTTTGCCAGTAAACGTTGTTGAACTCTATGTCGTAGATGGATGGATACTTGAGGTTCGAACAGCTATAGTTCCCCTTGACCTTCGCCTGGCCCCCGGAGTATTTGCTGTTCTTGTTCCAGTAGGCCAAAGGCAGGCTGGGTATCCTCTGTTCGATCTCCTCGATCAGCTCCTCCTCCGTTTTCGCCGGCCTCTTGTCCAGCAACGGTTCCAACGCCAGCGGATTCCTCGTCGGGTTGTTGGACATGGTGGTCAGGGTGGTGAGAAGGCTGGAGCCGCCGGAATTCGAGAAACTCGAGTCCGCGGAGGATCTCTGCAACAGGTATCTGGAGAGGCCGAGGCTGGAGGAGCCGCGATTCTTCATCAGCTCGCGTCGACGGTAAATGTCGTCGAGGAGGAACTCGTTGGACGACTCCTCGGCCGTCGGCGTCTCCCTCAGGCTGTTCTCCATGTGATGAAACTGCACCGCCGCGATCATCAGCAGGCCCCAAGCGAACACGAACAGCAGAGCGCGTCTGGCGCACCTGGACCCACCGCCGCTCAAGTTTTGCAGCTTCATGCTGATCGACTAGCCGCGTATCGATCGGGACAGGCTGCCTATCTGGCCCCGGCTCCACTCACCAAGCGGATCCCCGATGCTTCTGCGCCTGTAATTCCATCGAAATTGCAAATTTGTGAGATACTGCTCGTATCTGTGTGTAGTGATATGTGTTTAGGTATGTACACAGGTGTACATTGGGTATATACACACGGGTGGAACGTCATTAATCACAAGTGAAAGACGAGGATTGTATGAATACATTGTTGCCCCTCTCCTCTAAATGTCTTTCACCCGACAGACATTTTACAGAATCGAGGCTAGAATCTTAAATAAATAGTTTCTCAAGAATGCCGTAAAAAAATATATGATTCCAGTTAAAAACACGGAGGTGAAATGAACTCCTTTACTTAAGAAGAAGCTATTACAAGCTTTCTCTGTATGAAATAATTAATAAATTAATAAATCTATTTCGTATCTTCAGAATCAACGGGGGCATTTAAAATGATCAAGCTACGTGGTGTCTTTCTATAGAGAGTGTATTATAATTCATAGAGTATCTTTTTATAGAGAATATAGAGCTGTAAATAAATATATTATTCCACTCAAAAACATTGAGGTGAAGTGAACTCTTTCACTTAAGAAGAAGCTATTATAACTTTCTCTGTATGAAATAATTTCCATTAATAAATCTATTTCGTATCTTCAGAATCAACGGAGGCATTTAAAATGATCAAGCTACGTGGTATCTTTCTATGGAGAGTGTATTATTAATTCATAAAATATCTTTTTATAGAGAATATAGAGCTGCAAAAAAATATATCATTCCAGTTAAAAACATGGAGGTGAAACGAACTTCATTTAAGAAGAAGCTATTATATCCTTCTCTGTGTGAAATAATTTCTATTAATAAATCTGTTCCATATCTTCAGAAACAATGAAGACACTTAAAATGATCAACCTACCTGATATCTTTTTACACAGAGTGTATTATAATTCATAGAGTATCTTTTCATAAAGAATATAGAGTTGTAAATAAATATATTATTCCACTCAAAAACATTGAGGTGAAGTGAACTCTTTCACTTAAGAAGAAGCTATTATAATTTTCTCTGTATGAAATAATTTCCATTAATAAATCTATTTCGTATCTTCAGAATCAACGGAGGCATTTAAAATAATCAAGCTACGTGATATCTTTCTATGGAGAGTGTATTATTAATTCATAAAATATTTTTTTATAGAGAATATAGAGCTGCAAAGAAATATAGTATTCTAGTTAAAAACATGGAGGTGAAACGAACTTCACTTAAGAAGAAGCTATTATAACTTCTCTGTATGAAATAATTTTTATTAATAAATCTCTTTCATATCCTCAGAATCAGCGGAGACACTTAAAATGGTCAAGTTACGTTGTATCTTTCTATGGAGAGTGTATTATAATTCATAGAGTATCTTTTTATAGAGAATATAGAGCTGTAAGTAAATATATTATTCTACTCAAAAACATTGAGGTGAAGTGAACTCTTTCACTTAAGAAGAAGCTATTATAACTTTTTCTGTATAAAATAATTTCCATTAATAAATCTATTTCGTATCTTCAGAATCAACGGAGACACTTAAAATGATCAAGTTACGTGGTATCTTTCTATGGAGAGTGTATTATAATTCATAAAATATTTTTTTATAGAGAATATACAGCTGCAAAGAAATATAGTATTCTAGTTAAAAACATGGAGGTGAAACGAACTTCACTTAAGAAGAAGCTATTATAACTTCTCTGTATGAAATAATTTTTATTAATAAATCTCTTTCATATCCTCAGAATCAGCGGAGACACTTAAAATGGTCAAGTTACGTTGTATCTTTCTATGGAGAGTGTATTATAATTCATAAAATATTTTTTTATAGAGAATATAGAGCTGCAAAGAAATATAGTATTCTAGTCAAAAACATGAAGGTGAAACGAACTTCACTTAAGAAGAAGCTATTATAACTTCTTTGTAAGAAATAATTTCTATTAATAAATCTATTTCATATCTTCAGAAACAGAAGACACTTAAAATGATCAAGCTACGTGGCATCTTTTTACACAGAGTGTATTATTCATAGAGTATTTTTTTTTATAGAGAATATAGAACTGCAAAGAAATATAGTATTCCAGTTAAAAACGTGGAAATGAAATAAAATCCACTTACGAAGATTAATTATTACAACCTTCTCTGTACTAAATAATTTCTGTCAATAAATTAGTTTCATATCTTCAGAGACAAGGGATGTTCAAATTACATAGTTCATTCTGCATGTAAATTCTCCGGACGCGTAATAACAAAGAAGAAGCCCTGATGTTACGTAAATCGCTACTACGTTTGTCGTTAGAGAGGAGGAAAAGTATAAATTTCACATTTAAAAGGCGCAGAGATTGTTTACCGCTTCTTATTAGGTTCGCTCGGATTACTGGGAATGTCGCGTGAAACACGAAGACGATGAGCACAGAAAGCGTAATAGTATCTTGCGCGCCGGTCGGTCTAGCGTTCGGGAGGAAGTCGATAATAACCGGAAACGTTTTCCCAACGGTTGATGCAACCGGCGAAATTGGAGGATCGTAATCGAACTCTTCCTCCTTCGACGTCGCGTTACGAGAAAGAGAGGCAAGAAAAAAAAAAAAACTAGCTCTCCTGCCACGTAAGTTGGTTTTACTCGTCATCTTCATCTCCGAGACCACCGATCCTCCCGCCATAATTGCTCCTCCATCGAGGAAAATCTTTTTTGCCGTGCACGTCATTAATGCCTGGGTTATTACTCGTGATCGCTCATCCAGAACGACATTACCATGAGCTGAATAACCACTTGGAGGTTATCTCGGAGTGGTTTAGAGACTTTTGCGTTTCGTTCAATTGCCTTGATTCCTATCGGGATTAACCTTAACCAAGAAAACTCGATATTCGAAGTTCTACAGAAAGATGGAAACCAAAACGAAAAATCCAAAACACACTCGATATTTTGATCGTCGAGATCCTTTCGATCGTCTATATTTTCTAAGCTGTGTGACTTCTTCTCTTTATCCTTTCTTTTCCGGTGAATTCTACAGGGTGTCTCGTTTCAATCTATAAATGCAATTATCTCCGAAATTGTTCTCCGTTTAAAAAAACTATCTCAAATGCATTCGTTTGTTTTCTATCTTGAGAGGACAATAATTTGGTATACTCAGTTTGTCTCGAGATAGACGCTACTATTTTCCAACTACAATTGTGTAATTCTTTTTTTTTTTTTTTTGCATCGATTGATGCAGCAGGTCATTCTCTACGAAGAAAAAAAAGTCTAAAATCCATTAGTGCTTTTTATATAGTCTAATAAAATAGCTCCGAAGATAATTGCATCTGTAAATTAAAACGGGACACCCTGTACATGGGAAATTCTCGCGGGAGAAATCAAGCAGATTGGAGGAAGCTCGATTTTCTCCAAACGATCCTTGACCTTTTCGACGGCGAAATTTTCAATTTTATCGTTTCCCGTGCCGCGGAAAAGTGGAAAGTGAAAAATCAAAACTGGTTGACAGATAAAGCGGGCAGAACAGGATGGTGGAAAGCTTATCTGAAACGAGTCGACGGTGTCAAGGTATCAGGAACGATACCGGACTTACTTGTCGCGGTAGCTTTCACGCCTGGCTGCGAGGAGCTAGCTTTTATTTGTCAGGTAGCGTTTATTTATAAACCGGAGGGTAAGTGGTGGAGCACGATAGGAATGGATAACCACCGGTTATTATAACCAAACGTTGAAAAGATCGATGACCTTTTAAATTCGTTTCTCCGGAATATCTTTAAATTTTCGTTAATCCTTTATCGTATCACATTTCTCTTATTTTTATCGTGCTCGGTTTTCTTCCTTCGCGTTATTGTGTAACCATAATCGGCAATCATATCGATATCATCATCAGTCCTTGACGAATCGCCGTGTAAAGTAAAAATCCGCGACTAATAATCAATAAGATTCGTGACTCGGAAACGAGACAGTTTGGAAATTGTTAATCGTTTACTGAACGAACTTTGACGAAGATGCAAAAAAATGATGTCGTAATGCTTCTCGCAAGCGAATGAAGAAACAATCGCATTTTACGACCTTGCCAAGTCACGTGCCGTCCTTGACAATAAAACTGAAGCAAAGCAAAATATATTATACACATAATTTTATTTACACTATTATGGTGAAGTCTTAAGTTAATATCGAGTAAGAATATCGGCGAATATAAAAATGGACTCGCTATATTTTCTATTGAATCGAAGTTAACCTCAAAATTCTGTGCACATTGTATCAAGTTTGGAGACGTCGCGCGTTTCTTAGAGGCTATTGAATTATTAATTTGTTCTCTCGACATTTTTTATTAATTTTGTTCATAAGTATCGTGCTTATGACACGAGTTATATAAACAAGTTAACCTCAAAATTCTGTGCACATTAGATCAAGCTTGGAGACGTCGCGCGTTTCCTAGAGGCTATTGAATTATTAATTTGTTCTCTCGGCACTTTTTATTAATTTTGTTCATAAGTATCGAGTTATATTGGGTGGTCACTGAATGATATAAAACAAAAATAACTTTCACAAACACATATTTTTTCAATTTTTTAAATTATTATTTTATTTGGAAATAATTAATGGATTTTTTCAGTATGTGTAAAAAACAACATCCCTCAAATGACCACCAATTTTACTGTTCGCAAATACGGGCTTTTTAAAACTTTCAGTTTTTCAGTGGCCACCCTATATAAACAAGTTAACCTCAAAATTCTGTGCACATTGGATCAAACTTGGAAACGTCACGCGTTTCCTACAGGCTATTGAATTATTAATTTGTTCTCTCGTCATTTTTTATTAATTTTGTTCATAAGTATCGTGTTTATGACACGAGTTATATAAACAAGTTAACTTCAAAATTCTGTGCACATTGGATCAAGCTTGAAGACGTCGCGCGTTTTCCAAAGGCTATTGAATTATTAATTTGTTCTCTCATCATTTTTTATTAATTTTATCTACAAGTATCGTGCTTATGACACGAGTTATATAAACAAGTTAACCTCAAAATTCTGCGCACATTGGATCAAGCTTGAAGAC